TAAGAAGTTTGACTCATGCATGAAGAGTCAAGGCTACAAGAAGACTACTGCGGATGAGTGTGTATACATCAAGAAACTTCCAGATGGTACTTTCATTGCTCTTCTACTATATGTAGACGACATGTTGATCGTTGGGAAAGATGCCGTGAAGATAAACCAGCTGAAGAAAGAACTCTCTAAGTCTTTTGATATGAAAGACTTAGGACCGGCTCAACAGATTCTTGGGATGCAGATCACTCGAGATAGGAAGAATCGCAAGTTATGGCTATCTCAGGAGAAGTACATTGAACGAGTACTTGAGAGATTCAACATGAATGATGCCAAACCAGTAAGTGTTCCACTTGCGAATCACTTCAAGTTGAGCAAAAGAACATGCCCTACATCCAAGGAAGAGATCGGGGAGATGTCAGCAGTTCCATATTCTTCAGCAGTTGGGAGTTTGATGTACGCCATGGTATGCACAAGGCCAGACATCGCACTGGCAGTGGGTACAGTGAGCCGTTTTCTCTCTAACCCCGGGAAGGAGCATTGGGAGGCAGTCAAATGGATTCTCAGGTACTTGAAAGGTACCACGAAGTTATGTCTTTGTTACGGAGGAGCTGATCCAGTCTTGGAAGGCTACACAGATGCTGATATGGCCGGAGACACTGATAGTAGAAAGTCTACTTCAGGATATATCTACATTTTTGCAGGGGGAGCCGTTTCTTGGCAATCAAGATTGCAGAAGTGTGTTGCTTTATCTACAACAGAAGCAGAATACATTGCTGCCGCTGAAGCAGGTAAGGAAATGTTGTGGCTAAAGCGTTTTCTCCAAGAACTTGGGATCTAGCAGAAAGAGTACAAGGTACATTGTGACAGTCAGAGTGCTCTAGACTTGAGCAAGAACTCCATGTACCATTCTCGTACAAAGCATATTGACATTCGGTATCACTGGATACGGGAGGCGATTGATCAACAACTGTTGAGACTAGTGAAGATCAATACAAAGGAGAATCCATCAGACATGCTGACGAAGGTGGTGACACGGGATAAGCTCGAGCTGTGCAGAGACATAGGCGGGATGCTTGTTTTGAATATGCCTGGAAGGGGAGAATTGAAGAATTCAATTTCCAGGTCATATCCAAGTACAAGCAAATTGAAGAATCCAATTGCAATAAGCATGAAACTTCTTCCATGTGCAAGCAACAACCATGAAGCTTCCTCCATGTGCAAGAATGACAAAGGGAGCTTCCTCAACTACCATTGAAGTTTCCTCATGTTTAATCCCACCTTCATAGTACCTAGTTTTGGTGCTATAAATAGAGAGCTTGGAGAGTCTTTTTATCATCAAGTAAATTAGAATAGATCAACCAAGAAGAGTTGTGAATATCCTTGAGAGATATGTGAGGTGTTGTTTTGAGAGTTGTTAGTTAGAGATTGTATGTCTCTTCTTTCTATTCTTGAAAGTAATAAAAGTGTTTTTCTCTCATATTAGCACGATCCTGTTATTCCCAACACCTCCCACATGTTTACGTAGTGGTGGACTCGGGTCAGGCCAACCAGGAGCGGACCTGGTATTGTTCAAGAGTGTTCACCTGAACACCCAAAATCTCCAAATTCTTTTAACCAAAATTAAGGCCGTTTTAGTTTTTATAAAAAAACTCAATGACCTTAGATTCTCTGATCCAAACGATGCTCAAGCTCTGGTGCAGACGTATACAATAGTCCTCTACCTTGCAAATTACGATCTGATTTTGAAATATCTAATACGAAATTTACCGATTCACTTTCTGGTTTCTATTTCGAAGTACGGAGTATTACTTATCTTGAAAATAATGATTTTTTTATTAGGTTTAGTGGATTGACTGGATTCTATACAAATTGAATAGTCTTAATGTCGGCTGGATATACTCTTGCTTAACGTTTATTCAATTTAGTGATGTTTTACTCAACATTTGCTTAAGTTTTTGTTAGTCTTTTTGCTTATTTTTTTTTTTGTGAATTATTATTAACTAATATGAGTAATGTGTATTTGAAAAGGTTTGCAAATATATATATAATCGATTATCCACTATATTTTGATTTGACATTATAACTCAAAGGAGATAACAGAGATCCTTGATTTTAAAATATAAAGTAAGTTTGAACACCTAATTTGTAAATGCTAGATCCGCCACTAAGGCCAACCGACCCGGAACCGGCTCGGACCGGTACTGGGTATCGGTTCAGGCCACCCGACCCGGTCGTATAGCGGTCTGGGCTCGGGCCCTATAAATGATGAACCGGCCCGGCCAAGCCGGCCCCGGTCCGAGCCATAACGGCTACTTAAAAAAACAACAAATTAATAATTGTTGCCCTCCTAACTAGCCGTTGGGACTATTCCCAAACGGCTCTATAGCCGTTGGAGGCCTAGGAGGGGGGTCCGGGGGGGTTTTGGGGGTGGGGATACCAAAAAAGCCTATTTTTTATACTCCTATTTTCTATACATTTTTTACACCATCTTCATGCAATCCTACTCTCTAATTCTCTATTCTCTCATACTCAATAACTGAAATACTCAATCATCTCCATCTTCTCCAATTCTCTCTGCATATACAATTATTTATATAATTATTATTATATCTACTTATATATTAATTATCTACTTATATATATATATTATTACTAATATTTATTATCTACTTAATATATACTTATTGTCTTCTTAATATTTACTTTGATATCTACTTATTATCTATACTTAATGTTATTTACTTATATATATTAAAGTATTAAATATAAGTGTATTACTCATCTTATAGTAATATACTTATATATTATATACTATATTAGTTATACAATTATATTAGTTACCCTTGAATTCATAGTAATTAAATTCATCCTACTTACTTATAAACTCACACTCCCATTAATTATTATACACATTCATTCATTTTTTCTATTACTTACATTTTTTATTAATTGTTACATTTATCATTAAAGTATAAAACTAGTTAATTGTTACATTTCTCATTATCCTATTAGTTAATTAATACTTGTCTCATTTAATTTTTGAAGATTTAAACTAGTTAATTGTTACATTTGTCATTATCCTATTAGTTAATTAATATTTAATACACTTGTTGCATTTAATACTTTAATGTTGCTTCTTTTTAAACTGCTTAATTGCTACCTTTCTCAATACTCAAAGTATAAAACTAGTTAATTGTTACATTTCTCATTATCCTATTAGTTAATTAAAATTTAATACTTCTTTCGTTTAATACTATAAACTTGTTCAAGATTTAAACTACTTCATTGGCTCATTGCTACCTTTTTCAATTATTAAAAAAAACTAGTTAAATGTTACATTTTAATAAATTACTTGTTATTTTAGTAAACACACTTGTTATTTTAATAAACACACTCAAAGTATCGAATTTCATTACTCCTATTTTAATAAATTAAATACACTTGTTATTTTATTAAAGTACTTGGAAATTTGCTATAATTTTATTAGTCGCATTTTATTATTACTATTGTACTCATATTAAAATATTTGATATAATTTTATATTTGTTACATCTTAAAGATGGACCGTGGTAGACATTCTGTAGATATGGGTAATCTCCAATGCAACCGAAAGAAGGAGATTGCGACAACTCATCCTAGTTTACGCAAAGGCAAAGGTAAAGGGCAGGCCGGGTCTTCTTCTCAAAGTGGAGATGATTTTGAAACGGATTATCAACGGCGAGATGGGGATGTGATGTCCAACGAGCAACTACAACACCTATTGGCGCTAAATGATGGCCGCTTTTTCCATCAACAAAACATCCCGGAGTCTATTGACGAAGACAAGCTCGAGGATAAGGATGCGGAGGAGGACGAGGGGGGCGACGGCAGTCACGGCAGCCTGGATGATGAGCAAGAGTTGGAGGACGTGGGTGGTTCGTCCCAAATTGGTAAGAAATCTAAATCTCCTATTATAGAAAATAATTTTACAAAGACGAAAGACAAAAATAATCGAGAAATGGTACGCAAGTTGCAATCATTGCAATAAGGAGTATAGCTTGGGAACTTCCGGCGGATACAGGAGTCTCACAAGGCATCTTAAGTCCGCGCACTTAGTGAAGTATGCGAAAATATCGAAAGACAAGAGGAAGCAAACTCAAATGTCGAGGTTTGCAAATAACCAACCTTTTGGTAATTTCTCATACAATGATACACAAAATTTGACTGGTATGGATAACTTACTTGTTGAAGAAAATTTGCCTTATTTGTTTTCTGAAAGTCTTGCATTTAGAGATTATGCACAAACTTGTTTAAATCCTCAATATAGAGGTTATAGTCACAAAACGGTTAAGAAAGAAATTATAAGGCTTTATCGTGCGGAAAAGGCAAGGTTACAAAACTTTTTTGCAAACTTTGATGGGCGTGTTACTATTTGTTCTGAATATGGGAGGATACTTATCATAATTTACATTATTTGGGTCTGACTGAACATTATATTGATGATGATTGGAATCTGCATAAATGTGTTCTTGCTTTTCGTGAATTTAATGATCGTCACACCGCTGAACATATTTATATTTTTATTGAGCGTATTTTAATTGAGTATAATTTGATTGATAAGGTGTTTGCTATAATAATAGCACTAATAATACTGTTGTTATACCTCGATTGCGTGAATTGTGTGGTTCTAATAATTTGATAGGTAGATTTTTTCTGGGATGTGCATGTACTTTTATACTTTTATATATATTTGCAGGTGGGGTAACTTGGAAGGCTGTTTGTAGAAATGTCGGTAGAAGTTAAAAACATGTACTCTGCAGAAGCCAAGAGTGTGGCATATCTAGTGACTGCTTTGTTATGGACCCTTGTTGTATGGTAGTTATTGTGTAACTCGTGTCTAAATGGAGACAATGCAAAGGATTTTTCTCTCGTAAAATGCTTAAGGCACCCCAAAATGGAGTACCCCATTTTTACCCCATCCTAATGGGTGGCCACAAATGAGGCAGCTCATGTAAGTGGTGCCCACTCGCCGCCTCCATGAAAACTTACTACTCCGTATTATTCTTTAACAATGACATACATATGACACGAGTGCATAACATAACATATTCTTTCATACAAAAGTAACACGGGGAACGGTGTAAACTAAACACAAAAAACTGCCACCGATTTTGCACATCGCTCATACAAATCAAATGATTTCTAGTTTCTACTACGTAGTAGTTTATTCAACTTGGATAAATAACAATTTTTGCTTTAGTAGATGTGCGAGCAAAACACATAACTCTTTCTAAAATCTTACTTTTCATTCTAGGCCCACTACAAGTGATGGTAACTTTTTCAAGTGCTGGAAGAGAGGCCAACATCTCGTTTATGAAAAGGATTTCAGCCCATTCTCCCTTGTATAAGTTAAGCTCCAAAAAGAGAAGCTTTTTGCATGTTTGAGCCACACTATGAAGGTTTTTCAAGAGCTCCGATAGAGATTCTATACAGTTAACATCTGTCCCCTTCATAAAGGCAGAAGGAAAATAAACATTAGTTCATCAGCTTTACGCATTATAGATTTGTGAAAAGCAATGTAGAAGATAGTTGAAGCTACTAGAATCTTACAAAATATTGTCCATGAAAATGAAGTACTAGTATAGTAATAAAAATTACCGCATATGTAATTTCAAGTTTGCATAACTTCGGGCATATGGATAGTAACCGAACAAATGCAGAAGTCGTAACATCGTCTTGGAAACGAAATTTCGATAGCTTGAGCAATTCCAGGTTGATTGCATTTGCTTGTACTGGTAATCCCTTTTATAGTACGTTTTCCAAGAGAATACATGGAAATCAAATTGAAATAAAGTCGGATCACTTCAAATGTATGAAATAATACGGAGTATAATATACATAGATCGAAGTCCCAAAGAAACGGTTCAGAGAAAATACCTCAAGAGAACCATAGTCCACATCAAGAGTACGAATAGATATCAAGTCACAAGCGATTGGGAGAATCTTGCCAGAGTCTCTATTGAAACAATTTTTTATCGTCAAACTGCTAAGACTTCTAGCAGTGATTTTGAAGGGTGCTATACTATTACAACTACTAAATGATAGGTTCTTTAGCATTGGACCATCAACAACATAGCAAGGCAGATTCGTAGGACCAAAACAAACAGCATGTAAATATAGTGAGGTAAGATTGGATAATGTGGAAGGAAATTCTGTGGGTTCAATACGGAAACCACCAAGATGCAATCCTTTGAGTGTTGAGCATGAAAATACCCAATTCGGCAGCTTGTAATTGTATGGTGTAAGCTTAAAAAAAAGGTGGAGTTCTTCAACACCTTTAGATTTGACTAATGGTAACCATTGATCACAATCATAAGACCGAGACTTGATGGTGCGTTCCCCAACATGAGATAAATCAATGACAAATTTCTGAATTGTTCCCTTGTGCTGCAACATAACTTTGTTAATTGTATAGAAAGCGCAAGATATCTTTTCATATCTGCTAGCCTTACATTTGTTGTCAAAGTAGCGAAAGAACTGACGATCAAAGCAAAGTTGCCTTAGAGTGAACCAGAGATCTCTCCACATGGTAGACAAAACTGCAGTTTTAGCAATGTCTTGTATGGGCAAGAATCCCAAAATATGGTCCAATATATCTTCTGGGAGCAGACTGATTCTATCACTCCTCGCCATTATATATAACTTGGCTACCTTTAGCATATGCAAAATAAAGACTGAATGAGTTATTAGTTAAAACAAAGACATAATCTTGAAATTGGAGAAGTTGACGAGGATATGTAAAGTAGATATAAAACCAAGAGAACTACCCAAAAACTTCTTATTTAATTAATTTATTAATAATTAATAATTAATACATAAAGGATGCATCCAGCCATCCAAATCATAGATGATTACCGTAGTATAGGAGAAACTGATAATCTTGACCCAATAGACTGCAGAAAGCCAGAAACCAATAATAAATACAATAAATGCCAGGAAACCTGAAACCGAAACAGCGAAGACGATTGAGCTTCTAAGGAGATATTTCAAATCTCGGCGAGCGTCTGCCTGGGATTGGAATGGTGCAGAAGGATATCGATTTCTCTCGCCTCATTATTTCATTTGATTGTGTGAGCCTTTGATCAGGGGTGGGTAGAGTCTATGGTCCGGTTTGGTCCAATATTTTGCTGAACTCGTACTCGGAAATGATTTGGAACTGTTCAGTCTTAGACTTAATATTGTTCGATATAGTTCTATTTTCAAACGGGACGACATCATGTCATACTAATATCAAACAATGTCACTTTTTCCGGAAAATTAAAGTTCAACCATCCTCTAAAAATACACGCAATTTATCAATTTTCATATTATGTATAGTAATTAATAAATTTCAGATAAACTATAGTAGTAAGAAACATAAATAAGAAAATACTCCATCCGTCCCTGAAAATTGTTCCCGGTTTCCTTTTTGGGCCGTCCCAAAAAATTGTTCCACTTTCCCCTTTTGGAAAGTTTTTTGTGGCTACAATTAATTTACCTTTTTCTTACTCAACCACAACTATACATTTCCAATTTATTCTCACTTTCTTAAATTCTGTTCCAAGTCAATGCGGGAACAATTTTCCGGGACGGAGGGAGTACTAGTTTGAAATAAACTCTATAGACTGCAACTGCAAACTGTTTGGGCTAAATACTAATTTTTGTTAAATTTATTATACCTATAATAAAAAATACGTAGTACGAAATATTGGGTTGGGCTTCACCCCATGAAGATCAGCCCCCAGCAACGAGCAGCGACCAAGGTTTATGAAAGTGCAAAGGCAATAATCGAAGTAATCGAATACATGTACATATAATTATTAATTGTATAAATTATACTTCTGGTATCGATTCTCATTTTATGAGAACCAGTTATGGAATGGTTTGAAATTGGTACGATCCGGTTCAGGACAATTTTTTTAAAACCATTTCAAATATCGTTTTTCGGTCTGGTACCATACTGGCCCGGTTCGGTATTTTTGCTCACCCCTACCTTTGATGGGTATTCGTTTTAGGTGAGAAAATGTATTCTTTATATCTCCCCTTATATAATAAACGTCATCTCCCGTTAGCATGGTTCTTTTTCAGTTACCCCATGTCAAATTTTAAAGGAAAAAATCATAAATATACCCTGTAGTATGGGTGTGGGAACAAATATACTCATGTTCTATTTTTCGAAACAAATATACCCCTAAAATATACGTTGAAGTGCATATGTACCCCTGATCTTTTCAAAAGTGAAAGAATACCCGTCATATTCTTATAAATGAGCAAATTTACCCTTATTGACTTTAAATAGATAAAATAAATTTCAAAAAACACCAAAAATAAATTATAAATTCAAAATTTAAAAATAAAGATTTATTATTATGTTAAAATATTATATTTCTAATTTCAAATTGCAAATTGCTATTTTTTGTTGTAAATGAAGCACTTCAAATTCATTAAATTTAATTTTAGTCTTTTTGTGAAATTCTGAACACATTGTTAAATTTTTAAAAATAACATGCTTTGATTTTTTTAACCTTAATAAAATGAAATTCACATTTTGTAACCTTGGACTATTTGTCATCATACAAAAATATGTGATATTATAGTGCAAAGAATGCAAAAAAAATATTACGTAGTACATTGCAACACATATTTTAACACTTTTTTCGAAAGAATCCTGAATATATACTAAAGTTTTGAAAAACAAATTAAACTAACAATATTAAATTGTGATATACAAATAATAAAAGGGAGAATTGGACAGAAGTACATTTTTAAAAATTTTTATTTTTAAATTTTTAATTTCAAATTTATAATTTATTTTTGTTGTTTATGACATTTATTTTATCAATTTAAAGTCAATAAGGATAAATTTGCTCTCTTATAAGAATATGAGGGGTATTTGCCCCATTTAAAATTTAGGGGTTATATGCATTTCAACATATACTTCGGGATTTGTTCCGAAAAATAGAACTGTGATATATTTGTTCTCACACCCATGCTACATAGTATATTTGTATCTTTCCCAATTTTAAAAGCCAATTCAGCTCTTTTCCTTTAAACAGGCTATTCCGATGTTAAAAAAAGGCTATTTTGTTAAGTCGTTAACCTGACACCGAATCAGTGTATGACTTCACTTCCAATAGCCAACAACAGTTACTCACCTTAACCGAATAACTTCAGCCAAATGCTGCTCGTATGACTTCACTTCCAATAGCCAACAACAGTTACTCACCTTAACCGAATAACTTCAGCCAAATGCTGCTCGTCCACTCTCCTCTCTATTTGCCCAGCGGCGGATCTAGGCATCGGAACTGAGGGTATGCATAATAGAATTATAATAGAGATACTCTTGTACTTAACATAAAACTCTTATAGTATAAATATATCTGCCAGGACTCCTTAGAGAGTATCCTGTTTCATTATTTCACATGGTATCACGAGCACAGTCAAAAACCTAATTTTTTCGGTTCTCTCTCCTATCGTCGCCGCCGCACGATGTCTTCTTCCGCATCGAATACCTCGGCCGCGATTGGCAGCTCTGCCGCAACCTCCATGGCGGCTTCTTTCTCCTCCGCCGAGACAACTTCAGCGGCTTCTTCTGCCATGATGGCTTCCGCCGCGACAACTGCAGCGGTCTTCAACCCACCCCCACCCACCGGTGCTCCTCTTTTCTCTGGTTCTCAACCGGTCATCAGTTCTGTTACGTCGGCTTCCAATTTTGCTTCGCCAAACCGACCTGCTGGGACATACTCTCTCTTTCAGCATATGCCGCCACCTTTCTCTTGGCCAGCCCCAACGCCGGTGCAACACACCTCATTGGATCCTCCACCCTTCTCGCCTGGATCCTACGCCGGCACTACGTTCGTTGGCTCTCCGGGGGTGACGTCCGCTTTACCACCACCGAGAACACCTATCGGCATTACAACTGCTTCCCCGCTGGCTGATTTAGCCTCCTCTATCTCTCATGTGGCCACTAATGTCACAAATATTGTCACTACCAAGCTTCTTGCGGTTGAAGATTACACCACTTGGCGAACCCAGTTTGAATCTTTTCTTGTCTCGCAAGCACTTCTTGGAATGGTAGATGGCTCTATTCAGGTACCTCCTTCTCATTCCATAGATATTCTAAACCGTCCATCTCCCAATCCCGAATTTTCACTATGGCTAAGAATCGATCAAACAATTCGTTCTTGGTTATTTGCTACTTTGTCTCGCGATGTTCTTATTGATGTTCGGGATTTGAAGCATTCTTATCAAATTTGGGAACGGTTAGAATCTCGATTTATGTCCGCTAGTTTAGCTAGATCTATGGAATTAAAGAGGTTGTTCTCACAAGTTAAAAAGAAACCTGACCAATCCATGGATAGTTACTTAAGGGAGATAAAAACTTTGTTTGATGATCTTGCTACAATTAATTGCCCGGTGTCGTCCCGAGAGCTGCTTAAAACTACTATTATGGGGCTAGGTCCGGAGTATGAATCTTTATATACCACTGTCTCGCTGTTTCCTCAAAACTTCCCGTTTGAAACACTCCGTAATCATCTCCTTGAGTTAGAACAGCGGGTACTATATCTCCGATCCCAGGAATCATCGTCCATGCATCAAGCCTTTGCTACTTTTGCTCCCCACTCCGGTTCTCCATCTGCCTCGCAGCAGGTTTCGCAACAACAGCCCGGACAGCAACCACCGTCCCGATATCCAGCTCAGCAGCAGCCACCGCAGCGTGGCCGTGGTCGAGGGCGAGGCCGCGGGCGAGGACGAGGTCGCGGACGCGGGCAGCAGGGTCCGTTCGTACACCACGGACAGTTCGGGTATCCGACTCCATTCGGGTATCCACCACAGGGACATCAGTTTTATACTCCTGGAGGGGGTGTACCGCAGCCGTCGGTTGGGACTACTACACATTCCGGGGGTGGGCAGCCTACGGGTACTGTTATTTGTAATTCTACTTTGTCACATTTAAATACTAATGCTTTGCCTATTTCGATTACTAACATTAGTTCTGCAGGCTCATCATCAGAAGGAAGTATTCTTGGGGCTGTTCCCCATCCTGTTGTGTGTCAAATCTGTTTTTCTGTAGGTCATTCCGCCATCACATGCCCATCTCGTTTTTCTCAACCGTCAGCTCCAGCTTTGTTGACCACTCCGGGGGAAGCTAATTCAGCTTTATGGTATCCTGACTCTGGCGCTTCGGCTCATATGACTGCATCTGAAGGTATTTTGTCTAATAAGTCTGTTTACAATGGCTATAATTCGGTTAGTGTTGCTAATGGTGCCCATTTACCCATTTCTCATATTGGTGATGTTGCCTTACCTTCTACTGGTCGTCCTCTCACATTAAAATCTGTTTATCATGTGCCTCAATTAAAATATAATTTAATTTCTATTCAACGGCTTTGCGCAGATAACAATTGTACTGTAATTTTTGATAAAAATTCTTTTTTTATTAAGGACAAAGCCTCGGGGGCGGTGCTTCTTCAAGCTACCAGTAGTGGACCACTCTATCCCATCAGCCTGCCATCGTCACCATATTCATCCTTAGTTCTAGCTTCTGTCTTAGCCTCTGGCCCTGTGTGGCACCGTAGACTAGGTCATTGTGGTGACAATATTTTACAGTTTCTTAAACGTAAACAATTTTTATGTAGTCATTCTCCGTTTACACATGAGTGTGTGGCTTGTCGTTTAGGCAAATCACAACGTTTGCCCTTTGTGGATGCTAGTCATTTTTCACATTGTCCATTACAAATTATTCATTCTGATGTATGGCAATCTCCTGTTCTTTCTAATTTGGGGTTCAAGTATTATGTTTGCTTTATTGATGATTACTCTCGCTTTACCTGGATATATCCAATGCGCCTTAAGAGTGAAGTTTTTATGCATTTTAAAAATTTTAAAGCTTTGGTTGAAAATCTGTTTAATCAGAAAATTAAAATCTTTCAAAGTGATGGAGGGGGTGAATTTGTTAATCATAATATGCAGCAATTTCTCTCATCACATGGAATTTATTTTCAAAAATCTTGTCCTGACACACCTCAACAAAATGGTGTTGCTGAGAGAAAGCATCGTCATCTCCTTGAATTGACTCGCACTATGCTACTTGAAGCATCTATGCCGAATCAATACTGGGTTGATGC